ATGTAAGGGAGCATCTCTGTATGTAAGGGAGCATCTCTGTATGTAAGAGAGCATCTCTGTATGTAAGAGAGCATCTCTGTATGTAAGGGAGCATTTCCACTCCTATATTTTCCCCTATGAACTACAGTATCATTTGCCTATTTTTTTTTTTTACTTTTAGTCTTCAAAAACCTGAAAGCAGCATCTTAGTTTCTATTTTAAAAACAGTTTGTGGACTGGGGAGTTGGTTCAGCAGTTAAGAGCACTTGTTGCTCTTGTAGAAGACTCAGTTTCGATTCCAGACACCTGTATGATGGCTCACAACTCTGTTACTCCAGTCCCAGGAGATCTGATGTCCTTTGCTCTCTGGACACCAGGCATACATGTGTTACACAGACATACACAAAAGCAAACCATCCATACACATATTTTTTGGAAAATATTTTAAAACATGCTAAAAATAGCATTTGGATTAAGTAATTCTCAGCAAATTTATCTCTATATTCTCTTCTACATAGTTAATTCATGACTTTCTTCTAGTGTTCTGTAGTAGACTATTTATTTGGATTAATTCTAACTAACTTAATAATGATCTATGTGAGGTTATTAAGGACAAGTTTTATTAGTTTTAGGAGACAGGAAAAAATACATTAGAGAGGAGGACTAGAACTTAATGCCTGGGCGGGAGAGCATGGTCGGCAGTTACACACAGACACTGCTTTCCCAGAGGACCTGAGCTCAATTTCCAGCACCAAAGCTGGTCAGCTCACAAGCACCTCAAAGTCTAGCTCCATGGGAGCTGACACCTTTGGACTTCTCTGGGTACCCTCACTCAGGTGTACACACCCACATACAGATGTACCCATAATTGAAATATTAAAAAACAAAACAAAAACACAATTAATGAGGAAAATGTAAATTTTTGGTAGTGTACAAATTGCAAAGAAAGATAAAAATTGGCCATTATATTTGCCCAAATTTTTGAGATAGGCACCACTTGAATATTTAGGGTTTCTCATCAAAAAATATGTGGGTACATGTGTCTGCACGTGGGCGAGAGCAGAAGAGAACACTGTCAAGAACATAATACACCGCGTTCTTTTCTGGTTTGTATGCCATTAAAGAGTTCCCAACAGCCCCGTGAGTGCCCGTGTTCTATGCCTACCCGTGGCTCCATGCGGGGTCCTACCCAGCCGTTTGCTTGGAGGCTGCTGGAGGTGGGACCAGGCTATCCAGCTGCTGCCGATGTCCTGTTCTAACCAACCATTCATAGAACTTGTTCTCCACAAGGACCTGGAACTGCTTCCTCTGCTCCCTGAAGTTGTGTAAGAGCACACAAATGTAAGGAGACAACCCCCAGCAGATTTTACTCCCACCATTCCCTAAAATCTCAGTACAACCAAATGACTATGTGCAGTCCCCCTTCAGTCCTCTCCGTGTTCAAGGCAGTGAGACACGATGTCTAAAGCCTAGAACACTGCAGGTTCTTACAGTGTTCTGACAGGAATAAACGTATAAGGAAAAGAGGCCACACTGCTGTCCAGGTCGGCGGACTGTGATCTCTGTCTGTGTCCCTGTTAACTATGAGCCCTTGTGGGGAAGACAGGAAAGAAGCAAAGTAAATGTACAGCATGATGTTAAGTACTTAGAAGAAAAGCCCTTGTTGGAGAACAGTGCCGTGTCAGCTGAGAATGCAGCATTACTGAGTGCTACTGTAGGACAGGAGTGGACAGAGATGGACAGGAGTGGATAGAGACGCCTCTCTAATATGACATTTCAACAGGATTATGTAGAATGGACTACCCGACAGAGACAATCAAGGCCCTAACGTGACAGCATGACACAGGCAAGAAAGAGAAGAGTAGCCCCCAGATGGGAAGACCTTGCGCATCGGCCTGGCAGGACACAATTCCACTGGATCCACAGGACACCAACAGCACACAGGGCATGCTGGAATGACTACCGCCCAGAGCAAGAACAGGGTACTGCACACCTCAACTGCACAATCCCACTCAAGGCCAGGGGTGAACCCCGTCTCCTGGGTGAGTGGCTGCTGACACTTTGTACTTTTAGATCCACACCTCATCCCAACCTGTCTTACAGATAAATTACTAAGTTACAACTATGCAGCCACTCACTTTCCCTGACTGCAGATGGCATTTAATCTTCAGCAAGGCCTTGCCTCCCACAACACTCCACAAACCACACAATGTGAACCAGGATTTTGCTGGCAGTTTGCCTTCAATCTGCTTTCTGTTGAAAGTTCTCAACTCACATTTAACTTAATGGCTTAACTTTATGACAGAATAAAAACAATGTACTTGCTCTGCAGGAACTCTACTTCAAATGCGTATGTGTGTCTGCAGGCTAGTAATCTACAGTATGATACTCTTTAACGCTGGGCAGCAACTGTCAAGTGCAGGCCTGCAAGCCGATGCTCAGGACGGTGGATGTTCTTCAGTGCTCCTACACTGCAGAATCGGCCGGCGGCTTAGGTACAGTAAATGAATTTTTGGCTTACACTGAGTTTCGCTCTGGATGTAGCCCTAGTGTAAACGAAGGCACAACTTTATTCCCAAGTTACACTAGCTACTTTTTCAGCATTTCTAGCACCACTACATGCTAGAATATAATTGCTCACCAGTTTCCAGACTCTACAAATCTCCCTAAGCTTTTCACATGTGTAAGAGAGTCCAGGCATTTAAATGATGGAAACATTTACACAGCAGGTGTTCTAAAGATATTTTTCAATGAAGATCTCTTCTTATACACTCTAATTCTATTACTGTACTATATGGTGTTATAATGACTGTGGGGAATAGTAAGCACACAGAGCCTCTGGAACAAGGCTTTGTGACTAAGTAAAGTACTTAATCTTAGTTCTCTAGTCTTCATCTGCAACTGGGCACAGCGATTAGAAATAAGCAGTGAGGTAGCATAGAGCTGATCAGATCAGTGCTTGGGACATCCTAAGTACTCAGCCTGCGATCCTGTAAACACCTCCATCATTACTATAGATTAGAGCGACAACTTCCTACTCAGAAGGCTCTGAGTGCAATGAGATCAGCAATCTGCTGACATGATCCATGAGTTGAGAGCCACATCCAGTGTTTACACAGGGAACTGTAGTACTTCTGCACGGATCCCCAACTAAGGCGTAAGTTGTGTCTGTTGTTGATTGTGTGGTGTGTGTATGTATGTGTGTGTGTTGTATATATAGGTATGATATATGTTGTACACAACACACACACACACACACACACACACACACACACACACACACACACA